ATTATATGGACAATTTTGATTCGGATGGGCTATCAGGGGCAGAGTTTCTAAATGACTGACTTGCCTAGTCCGCCCACTTTCTGTACAACAGGGTATACACTTGGGTTTTCTGGTTTACTTCTTTTCTTCCGGCTCTAAGCTGCCTCCTTTACTCATAGACGATCTCTTTTTATCCTAGACGATATTCTGCATGTGGGAGTTTCACCCTTAGCTATAGACGAGGAGTCAGGTTTACCCCTGAGATCCATCTGCGCAAGCAGCGATACACCAAAAATTCATGTAGTTTAGAATAGACATTTTCATACATCTTTGCCTTCCTAAAAAGCTCGCATAAGAATAGAGTTCGCTTAACCTCGTGCACTCACGCTTCATACACCATGCCTAAGTGACACAAGCAACGGTAGAAATATTGAATGCGGTTTATCCTTTCTGCCTAGTAATATTGCTTGTGTTACTAGATATCAGCCTATCCATCCCTACATGGGCTCTGCCTTTCTCGAGGGGGACAGATTATAAAGAAAATGACTAATATATCTCGACCGTCCCAATAGGGTCCCTACATGTAGAGGGCACCGCCAGCGCCGTGCCCCTGACTAGAGCATGCAGGCTAGTGGAACCATAGAACTGCTCTAATGTCGTGGTTCTATGTTTGCCGCACGGGATGGGCCGCCCCCATCCACGATTGCGTACACGTTTGTCAGCTTATTTCCAGGTAGGTAAGATGCTACGGTATCCGAAGGTTTGGTTTCATGTATAAATGCGCTTCTCATCTTATGTAATACAGTGCTGCCGTCAGAGTTTCATACGTCGCCTAATTCTCGTTAGGTTGGACTCGTGCTTATTGCGCTGTGCTATATCGAGACTCGAAGCGCCATTCCAAAAAGGTAACGAGGGTAAACAGTAAATAAGGTCATTTAGATGCTTATTTCCGTATCCTACCCTCGACGCCAACGGTTTCTTCTAGCGGGATACATGATTATGTCAGTCGCGACCTTATAAAAGGCCAATATCATCCTACCTGACATCAAGTTTAATACTAAAAATCTTAAATATAGAAGATACTACTTTGCTAACGGAGAAACAACCACAAGAGATGTAGGATTTAAGGCGTATCTTCGCCCTGCCGTCATATCAAGTCCCACTAAAGCCAGGGAGCCTGGCTACGCACGGTTCATTACCTGCGCCTCCTGACCCATAGATATACACTATGTACGGGTAATTCTCCTCGCCTTCCTTTATTTTATGGCTTGGCTTTGGAATACATTCGGCGAGCGGTGAGTCGTAGCCGACGAAAATCACACACCTAGGTAAGAGGTAGGTAACCTTACAAGGGACCCAGAGCCGTATTCATAGATATCCTTGATCTATTCCTGGGGTATCATTGACATGTCAGATATACCCAAGTACTAATTACCCATACAGATCTACTACTTCCCAGATGGTCGAATGAAGTAAGCAAGACAAAGACAGGGTCAAAACTAGTGTACCTAGGCAAACTAGATTTATCCCCACCTGTCTAGGTAGTTAGAGGCTACGATATTACTTAACACAAAGAGCGTTACGTATTTCGAGATCCCATTCTAAGGAACCTCAAGGCGGAAAAAAAAAAACAGTGTGCTCCTAGACCGGGTTAGGAAAACGGAGTATCATTCGCCATGGTATTGGTAAGAACCTTATCCCAGTATTGCACTTCACATGTGAATCAGTCCCATTCTAGTAACGTGTGAAGTAGACCCTTGCACATATTACGATACGATATGTACCCGCAATACATTTAACTGCCGGCATTGGAAATTCTATTTCTATAAGGATCAGACGTCACACGGTTGCCGTTCACTTGCCCAAACAGAAGAACCTCTGCCTAATCTTGGACAAGGACTAAATGCTTTACCTAACTCCTATCTCCGTATACCGACTATGCCGACTATTTTAGTATTTTTTTCTATTTTATTAGCGACGTGCTCAGTATATCGAAGACCCTATGTTTTCTATAATTAGAGTCTGAAACTACCAAAGGTGTGGTAGTTGTAACGCGGGTCCATCTGATCGGGATTACATTCCTCAGCTCTTATTAGAATCATTCAAGCAAGGTAGCTTATACGTTCTAGGTTAAGAAAATAATAGTAATTATCGTGCACAGTAATGAGCGAAATCTCAAACAGTATAGGTACTCGAAATCGTGCTGCATATAATACCTTCTCTCTTAAGACTCTATCCACCCTATGATCCTTCCATATTCTCCTATGCTACTAGAAGAATTCGCAACTATTCTGCGCCGCTGATCTGCTTACATGTTAAACTTGCACTGGTAGCATTGCATTGTAACGTCCCGTCCCGTCCTCTCCGTGAAAGATGCCAGTTATCCGCCTCGCTCACATGTGACATCTGCAATATTTTACCTGACCAAGCTCCAACAAGCAGGTACTTTGCTTTAACAATAGATGCAAGAGGTAGGTTTAACTACCAAGAGATCATAAAGCAGATACGGAGATCAGACGAGAACTCCGAAAGAACATGTTGTATCATTACATTCTGATTTCTCGGTCATAGATTGCTTTCCAACATGTTTCCCTAGAATCAGGCACGTAAAATATAAAAAGCTATTATACTTTAGGCTATGCCATAGTCAACTCCTTTGAACTCTTCTGAGCAAAAACCACTCGTTTACTCCTGGTTCCGCATAGCTTAATCAATATTTATATAATTTAACCTCAAAAACCAACTGCGGTAAAAATAGCTACATCAAGTGTAACCATGTCAAATTTGTACCACTATAGAAAAGCAAGACAAGATAATCACAGTACCTAAGGACTTTAAAATATTACACATTATATACAAAAAAGGTGTATTCGAAGCAATAAGTTATAACATTTTCGGCTTCTGTCTAGTCGTGGCCTTTGGGGATTTTCACCAGTTATCACAACACATCACAATACGTATTATATCTATTTCGGATTAACACCTTGACCTCCTGACGTCACGGCGATCTAGAAGCAAGAACGCTCATTTCTACACTAAATTCTGTCCAATATATTCCAGATATATTAAGTATTCAGTCTGTAAAAGAGTTAAACCCCGTAGGTAGATATGCTTTTCGTGTTATTTGAAGTATAATGCTTTTGCTATTGTTTGCTACTGTTGTCATCGTTCCACTATATGACACATTATGGTGTAACAGGACTCTTCGGATATTTACGAACAGAGTCAGAGTCAACTCCAGGCATTATATTATGTAGATGCCTAAACTTACATTTTTTCCTCTATCTTGTGTTGTCATCTAAGGCTAACATTTAGTCTATATGCTCAGCTTTCTCTTTCTCTTCTTTTTTTCCCTTCGCAAATGATCACATTGAAAGACTGCTTCCAGATTACGTGGGGTTAAACACCGTTCGCGATCCTTTTACGTCACTTTCAAGCTACAAGTTAAGTACCAGTTTCTACCAGATAATGAAAGGCTGGAAGATTTTAACATTGTGAAAATTTACAGACCTCGGTTTAACTTTTTAACACCTTACCTATGATATAGTGAAAACTGACCGGAGCTACCAGAACTCCGATAGCTTAGGTTACCTAGGTAGGCACCTAATTATATTTCAGCATCTCATACCCCTTGATTGCCTTTAGATATTTTACAGTTTTCAACCTACTTCAGCAACTACAACTACAACTAAAGTCGTGATTCTCGGCCATGATCACCGGAAAATCGGGACGTCAGCACAGCTTATAACCTACGGTAACGCTCGGGACAGAGATAGCTTGACTTCCGGATGCCGACTCTAGACAGTCACGTCCCGGGGACAATTTAGGTAGGTACTCTTTAGTCCACTACAAATATTAACCCTAGTTTTTATCCACCATCACCATTGGCCATCAAATCCTTTATTTATCATCCTAGGCTCCGACTATACTTCATCAGGTACCTACACCAACCCAGACCTTGCACAGTCCACTTAAGAACAGTGCAACTCACAATCAACCATTCAAAACATTCCATCTCAACTTATTGTCAGACATTCTCTAAACTCCTTATCAGGCACCAACAACAGGTCTGCGTTGTTGATAGTCATCAGAGATCATTATTTCGCACCTCATTTTCCTTCTACTTCTTTGCACCCCATCAACAAGAATACCCCACCAATAAGACATGCGAAGGGTGATGTCCATAACATGAACCTGTTATCATCACCAGCTCTCGGGCTTCCTAATGGAGCAAAAGAAATTCGCAGTTACCAGAAGTCTGATAAATTTTGTATTGAGCATTTTCAACGCCAATACAAACACTGTTTTTGAGGAACAATACCTTATAGGTACTTAGAGTGAACCGCTCTGCTTTCGGTTCTGCTCCAGTCATCTGTCTTCGTACGTATTCCGGTCGTGGATTTCCTTCCTTCAGTCTTTCTATACTACGAATCGTCCCCCCCTCCCCCACCCCCTTTTATCCACACCAACCTTGAAGAAAAAAAAAACGTTCTGGTTCCATGATCTATCAACATACCATCACAATACTTTCTTTTTTCTATTCTTCCTGTTTTCTGTCCTCGCCATATCCCGACCTGCCGTGTACATACTAACGGTGCTATCTGGTCTGCATTGCACTCTACACGCAGGGGGGATGGCTTGGTAAAGCTGCATCTTCTACCCTTATTTTAATATCTTCTTACTCGTCCCTTCCTCACGTCTTACTAATATCGTTATTACTTTAACAGCTTTGACACAACTGGATCCATAAATCGCCCCTGCCTAACAATCCACCCCCAGTCTAACTCTAATTACCAATCGTTCTTTCATACTTTATATGTACGTTCATTCCTAAGACATAATGGACCGGCCCGACTTCCTAGAAAGATATTTATTACAAACTCCTCGGCCCTTCCTTACTACAAGACCGACATCTTACATCATCAATACCTTACCTACATCATCAACACCACTTTACATCATCAATCTCTCTACACCGTCGATACCGCTATCTAACTAAACCTTCAGTAGCACTACCTACAATGTCTGTACCGGTATCTGTCGGCGACAAAAGTCAGACCCCGGTCTCCATGACCGAAGGGAGTTCGATTCCGGAGACTTTGACCAACATAGATCTCAGCGACAGCAAAGAGCTTTTACGGCAGCTAAGGCGACATATCAGCTGGATTGTCGAATGGGTCGAAAAGAATAAACCCTTGTGCAATTCCAACAACGAAGACGAGTCTATAGGAGAGGTTGGTGGGAAAGCTAAGCTAGATGTCGGCCACTCAATCCAGCCTCCCATTCCGGCCAATACCGAATGGTATACTTCATCCTCCTATGATTACCAGAATACCGACAAGAGTAGGGAGGTTCTGAGTCACGACACGGGCGATGAAGCAAAAAATAATCTAGGTGACGAGGCTAAAGAACCAAGCACCGTCCCGCATCGCCTGGTCGACGCCCACGAAGCAGCAGCCAAATCTCTCGGGTATGGAAGGATCCCTTACGAGTACCTGGTAAATCCTGAGGAGTATGGAAACCAGTACTTCGAGGTCAAGAAGTCGCGACTTGGAGGGAACGGGGCTTTTGCAAAGACGGATCTGAGGAAAGGCCAGTTGATTCTCGCAGAACGTCCAATACTTACGGCAAGCCCTGTCACTTTATACCAGGATATAGAGTTACTAGCGCCGGAGCTTCAAGCTGCGTTCTATCGAATGCATGGGCACAAAAGATCCCCTGATCATGACAAGCGGCAGGCAATCTTCCTGACTAACGCGTATGTTTTATCTATATTATATTATACAACTACCCATCGAAGACCAATGTGCTAATCAGAACTGATAGCTTTGCGGTTAAGGAATCATCCTTCATCTACTTTATTGCCGCACGATTTAATCACGCCTGTGGCCAGGTCAGTTCTGTCAAGTACCGTATCGCTCAGAACAATATTATAGAGCTCCGAATGGCGAAGGATGTGCCCGCTAGCACCGAGCTGACCATCTCGTACGGATCGATGTCGCCGAGCAGCCTATATGCACTATGGGGGTTCCGCTGTGCTTGTGGTGGCTGTAGGCCCCTTACGGACGCTGAAGTCAAACGATTAGACAAGAGGGATGATGATGCATATGGAATCTGGTAGGGTACCGATAAGAGACGGTTAGACATTAGACGTGGGTGGATAGATACATGGGCCCTGTTTAGATGGGTGGCTTTTCGCGACTGGGTTTGTTCTAGCAAAGATTGACCCTGATTCTTTGATTTTTTCTTTTAAAGGGTACCCGATTAAGGGGAATACAGACTTTACTAAAAGCTGTTTTAAAGAGGTGGTGAAAGGAGGTAGATAGACCACTTTATAAGATAGGTACAAAACTACCTAATATATTACGTTGACTTCACACTATTCCTCTTTTCTCTTTTATTTTTGATTTATTTTACCATTATTTGTAAAAAGTGATGGATTCATTGTTCACCTCATGACAGGTATACTGAAGGCAGGGACGTGCCTGCCTTATTGTCTTGTAAGATTCCATTTGTATTGACCTCAATGTATGTAGGTAGGTACATATGTACGTAACCTCATGTATGAATCACGTGGTGTCGCGTTCAATATATGTACCTAAATTGGGCGGCATGAATGCAAACGCGATGTAGGTTCCTACATGTACTTTAAGTCTGTACAGAGTCTGTACAATTGGAGTCTGTACACAGTGGTTACTTTAACCTAAGGTTAGGCAGGCAGCCGCCCATGCTATGCTAAGCTGATAACTGACAAGGCAACTACCAAACGCTATGATAGAACTCTGGACTTGACTAATGCAACCTTCTTTTTTTCTCTCTACTAAAAACATGTCGTGAAACAAATGTGCGTGACTAAATCATTGCACTGACTTCCGTTTTATGTATGTTGTCCTAGAAACTCTCTTAGTATTACCCTTTGATCATTCTACATGGTATGCCCAGCAACGGATATCCATTTATATACCTATGTAGTTGCTACCCGGGCATCCAACTACTTAGGACCGTTCTCTACTATTACAACATCACACACCTAAGACATTTGCCTGGTCTGTATTTCTTGAGTTCCCTCTCCGTTTATCACTTCCATCACTTCCATCACTAGGATCAGGATATCTTCTTAACGCCGACACCACTATACCCCCTTTACTCCCTTATTCACCATATTAAGTATTTACATTGTCAATTCTACTTTGGTACTGTAATAAGGGACATCTTCACCCCATCATTAGGTTTTGATTCTTGGTTATTTATCCAAGATGCCTCCCTTTCCTACTTTCGACTGCTATGCCACCCTCGAGGTAGCAAGCACTGCAACAGAGCAGGAGATCACTGCCGCCTACCGCCGCTTAGCCCTTATTCACCATCCAGATAAGAACCCCAATAACGCTGAAGCTGCTACGGCAACCTTCCAAAAAGTACGTTCTAGTTCCTATCATTCAAGGCATAGCACTGAAACTGAGCTAATATCTAACAGATCCAACTTGCTTACGAGATTCTTCATGACCCTATTAGTCGTTCTCGTTATAATCATCACATAGCCTCTCGGAACGCCACTACACCCCCTCGGCCCGAATCTCAGGCGCGATCGAATCCTTCGGACTGGACTGATGTTGATGATGATGATGATGATTGGATATACGACGATGTGTTCCTTCACATCTTCCGTTACTACTTTTTCGGAGATGGGGCTCGGCAACCAAATTATCCAGGATCTTTCGACAGAGATAATGTCTTTAGCCAGTTTCAGCGGGAAAGGCGAGAGGAACGTGAAAGGGTCAGCGAGGAGACTCGTAAGCAAAGAATGGCCGAGGCAGCACGCAAAAAAGCTCGAGAAGACGACAAGAAATCTCAAGAAGAGATGAAAGCTAAGCAAAAAGAGGACGAACGAGTCACGGAAAAGTCCGACCAAGAGATGCGCTGGAAAAAGCTCAACGCCGTCACCAAGGACGAGAAGGTAGAAGCTTGTCTCCACTCTGGATTCTGCAGCAAGATCCAGCAGTCTAAGAAGTTCAAATGCGGCGCTTGTCATGTGAAACGAGGCATTATAGCTTTCGAATGTCCCTACTGTTTGTTGCACATCTGTCAGCAGTGCGTGTCTGACTTCGCCAAGAAGCGCTCCTTAGCCTCGATGCAGGACAGCTCTAAGCCTGAAGTTGATCCCAAGTCAACGGTTAAGCCCGAGCCAGAGCCAGAGGCAGAATTCAGGCCCGAGGCCGAATCATCAACTCAAGCGAAGGGCGGGCGCCACAACGAGGGACCCAACGCTAAATCCAAGGGTGGCAAAGGCCACAAAAAGAATGGATATGGGAAGAAAGGACGGAACCCAAGCTCGTGACTTTTACTGCAACGAAGCAGATGATGTTGCTCCCAAGTGTCCCAATGGCCCTAACCGCCAGGGCAATCGACACACCTCAGTAAAGGAGATGAGAGCGATGCAAAGCAAGCATCATTTAATAGTGAGGGAACTGAGACTGCGATGTTATGATTTAGGATTCATTACGAGCTAAGTTACGGGGTTTAACGGAAACTGACAGGATCTGGTGTTTTATGGGTTCCACATCAGAGGAATAACTACACCCCGGAGGAGTTTTCAGTACAGATTGGCGAGATACCCAAGGATGTTTGTAGTAATCGATGTTTTTTAACAGTATGTTCGGCGGGGCTTTCTCCTTTTACATGTGTCTACGTGCCTGATCAATTATGTGCTATGAAGAGTTAGTCTGATTGTTAGTGAAATTCATTTTTGTTATGGGAGTTCATATCGGCTACGTGGTTGTAAAGTAAGGCGATACCTATTCTCATCATGGTAGCTATGAAGATCTTGTGGGACTTTGCTGCTCAACAATGTAAATGGTGTAGACGTAATAAAACCAAGCTTTCCATACCCTCGTCATCAAGGCCTGTGAGATTAGTGTAGGAGTTGACGAATTATCTGCGAAAAGATTTCACAGTATTTTGGATTAAACCGTCACTTACATATAAAAGTTAGGTTGAGGGAAGTAATAAACTTAATTAGCAATTCGGACCCGAAATAGAGGCATAAATATGTAATGAGAGTCGGAGTGAAGGGGTGATTTCTTTAAGACTTGGGAGCAATGAGCGGCTTGGTCAAATTAGATACCTCCGTCATACCTATGACTTACCTGAGGTAGCCCCGGGAACATTATCATCAGCAAAACCGGCGGAACTCAAGAAACGCATCCATCAATATAGGTTAGGCACCCAAGAACCCAACATCGAAAAATACCCAACCCGTCCCTCAAACCTAGGTACCTTAGGTACTCTATATCGCAAAACCCGACCAAACAAAACCAAGTCACAATTCCCTAACCTCCGCTTCGCACCGGCTTCCCGCCTCGGGAGCCGGCGCGCACAGATAAGATATATATATATATATATATAGGTACCTTATATATCCGAGACGCGCCACCTGTATATCAGCCCATCACGCCAACTCGCTCGTATGAGTAGGTAGGTAGGTAGGTAGGTAAGGTACGGTACCTAACGCACGGCTAGAGACAGCACACATGACGGGCGCTGTAAGCGCCCCGGATGTCTCACAGGGGCAGTAGTACAGCGTCGGCAGCCACCGCTCGTTAACTCGTCGGTTTACGCACCCGGGAACGTAAGGGAGAATTTACCTAGGTTAGGTATGCTTCGGGTGCTGGAAGTAAGGGCGGAGAAAAAAAAGGGGGGGAAACGGGATGCTTTTTTTTCTTCTTCCTGCGGCCGGTTGGTTGGGTTGTTGTATGGTTCCAGCCCCTCGGGTGCTGTGAGTTTGACAGGATATAGTTATGTAGGTACCTCTTAGTATGCGTGTAAGAGGGGGTATGTTTGAAGGGTTTGGACGAGCCTCAGGGTCCTAGGGGTAATTTGACTGATTCGCACGTGATCTCTATTCACTTTGAAGCATGAGCTCAGGTTGCCAATACATATAATGGATATATTTACAAAAAACACAATACAAGCTCTGGTAGTCCATCAAGATTTAGAGAGGATAGTAAGATACGAATTCTGCGCACAATCAAGACTGGTCTTTTATTTCAGGGGTTTATATATCAATTTGAGAATCTGCCTCGGCCGGGTGTTGATCGGAAGCGGACAAATCCCCGTCATCCCATCACCCCTTTCAGGGTCCCGTTGAACTGACGCGAAGGAGCCTACATGCAAGCTCTACCTCTGGCTGCCACCGGAAAAAAAATGCAAGATGTGATCAGACCCGTAATAATGCTACTCATGACCGAATGTCCAGCTACCCGCTTTGCTTTCTACTTCCTCCTCTTTTTGCTTCAGCCTCCTACTATATCTGCTAGCAGACTCAGCTCTCCCCTTCCCCTCTCCTCGCGTGCGTGAAGCACATAAGGCACCATCGGTAACAGTAAAAAGAATATTAACAAAAGAAAAAGAACAAATAATTTGTATCGCTTTATGACGGCGGTAACGGCGTCACTCAACTCTACCCGAGCAAAGGCGTAGCGTCTGAAGACCCTCCTCTTTTCATGTACCAATATTTTATAACACCTATGTGCTAACCCGGGATCTCGTCCAGCCCATTTGTGTTCTCGCTGTATCTCGAAATGGCAAGCTCCTCTTATAGAATAAGTTTGCATTTATGTAGCTGATCAACTTTGGGTCCGTCCACCGAAGGATTGAGGAAAGGAGGCAGAAGAGAGGGGCGGCGCGAGCTCACGCAGCCTAACTCGGTATATAAGATTAAACTGTACATATACACCAAAAAATTCGAAGTTATTGTCACCAAACGCCCGCCGCTATGATGGCTACCCTAGGTAGTGTTCGGTTCGTTTGCCGTTCTCATAGAATAGAAATTAACTGAAGCTTAAAGAGTGACATCGAGAACTAGGCTGACGTCTTGAACGTTAGATCCGGCCAGGTCCTCGAGGACGGGTATCAAGTCTAATAATTCATTGTCGTGAGCATCCGAGAACCAACTGCTGATAGGCACAGCGTGTTGAGGATGGAAGATGTACGAGGTAGGCGAGTTGTCAATGATAATAGTATCCTTGAGGTCCCTGCCGACCTGGGAAAGATCCTTGACGTAGTTGCCTTGGTGGTTATAACAGCTCTCTCGGAACAGTCGGTGGTGGACAACCTTGTGGATGTCGAGCTGATCTAGCAATGGGTCGCCGTACTGTTTAACCAGATTAGAAAAATGAGACGGTAGTAGTAGTATATATAACGTACCTTAGAGACAGAGGCTGTGAACACTACGACTTCGTATAGCTCGCCCACACGCTTCATGAACTGATCTACACCTGGTCGTTTGATGACATACACGTTATGATAATTGCCCTCAATTTCAACTGGTATCGTGAAATCAGCTTGGTGTAGTATCTGCAACAGTTAGTTTGTTGACCACGTTTAGATGAACATTTCTATGACATACCTTAAAAGAGCTATGCACCAAAGTCTCGTCTAGGTCCAATACTAGACACTTTTTGCCCTTGAAACGGGGTTCAATAGGTGGTAGAAGATATTTTTGTTGACCTTGCTCCAGATCCACGGATTTCTCCTCTGGCGCAATGAGGACGGGATTGGCAACGGGGACCGGTCCGGGAGGTGGCGGCGGAACCGACTTCGCACATTCAGACTCGTCGTCCGTACCAGGTTGTTTAGCTAGTTCAGCTACAGCTAGTTCCGTATCTGCCATCTCAACATCGCCGTCAACGTCCCTGGTGGATGGCCCTTCGACAGCATCCGCCTCCGCTTCATGATCTTCTACAACAGGAGGGTTAACCGTGATGCTGGGACCCGGTACACCGACCAGGGTAGTCTGTTTCGACTCGCTCTCGCGTTCGCCGACCGTGGACTGGTCCTGAGTCGTTGACCCCGAGACCCGCTTTGCGGATTTGGATGCGTCTTGAGCAGCGGTGCTTGCTTGAGGCGACGACTCCTTCTCCTTCTCGTAAACTTGAGTCTTGCTACCACCCGTCTGCTCCGAAGGTGTTGTAGTTCGTCGGCTAGATGTCAGTGGTCTTTGAGGGAGCTTGTCGAGTTTGTGAGAAGGGAGTGGATCTTCACCACCTTCGAGGGTGCTGGCGTGATTAGGAACAACACAGCATCCAAGAAGAGCCAGTAACCCGCCCTTTTTCCGCCGTTGCGGAGCCCCAGCCGGGGAGTTTGGCAGCAATGTACTTGGTGTAGTCGTGGGATTCGTGGCAGCCCCAGAGTGATTGCTGGACGCACTACCGTTCCGACGCCGGCCAAGCATACTGTGTTTTGATTCCTTAGAATTGCCACCAATACTATCTCGCGGATCGTCAGCAGTCGTCCCGCTGAGACCCGTTGTTGCTGACGATGACTGTATCTTTTGCGATGAAGATCTCGACGGTACGTTTAGGAGGCCACGTCCTTTTCTTGAAGCTAATCCGTCCTCGGCCGTAACTGATTCCTTTTCCCTCGAGTTTTCGTGCTCCGCCAGTGCTTTCTCGTCAGCACCTCTGGACATTTTTCCCAATTAAAAGTTGATGCTTGCTAGCTATAGGAGACGGCAAGCTATCGCACTGTAAAGGTAAGATTAGCCACAGACACATGCCAAAAACTGGAGGCTTATTCTGCTTTAAGTAAGGCAGATTAACTGGCGCATAAGATCGCGTCGATCAATTGAAAACGAACGGCGCTTCTAGGAAGTAAAGGGACTCGGACAGAAACAGTCCCAATCAAGGCGTGGAAAAGCTTATCAATTGTTTCTTACCTCGATACTCAACGGCCGTTCACCTTAAATAGCTGCCTAAACCCCTGATGCAGCAATTGGTGGCCTTGAACGGCCGAGTAGTTATTATGGCCGTGTCGGCGACCGCGACCAGAGGAGAGGCTGGCTGATGCGGCTGAATCGGGAATGTAGATGGAGATTCTAAAAAACCACGAGACGAGCGAGGGAAATAAGAGGCGATGCGATGGAGATGTCGAGAAGAACGGCGCGTCGTGACAAGAAACCCTGCTGAGATTTGAGATAATTCGGGGAGATGAAGTGGGTCAGTCGCTTGGGACTTGCGAAGGAGGAAACAGATTGAACCCGGATGTAGACAGATGACGAGCCTCGAGGTACCTTTGGGGGGTCGGGCGGGTATCTGAACAAATAACTCCAAATCCTAGCTGTAAGAAGAAAAAAATAAAGTAATGGCACAAAAAGCCCAAAGATGTCCCGTCGAAGAACCTAAGTGAAAGGGAGAATGAAATGGATTGAACAAGTACAACGCTGGAAATGATACCTAAGGTAAGGTAATAGAGGGTAGTTATGGTAAGCTTAAGGCTTAAGGTACATACGTACAAACAGAGAGCTGGCTGTAAAAAAGAAATGAAGACTATCTCTTCCACTGCTCTGCGGGATTGTTGCGCGGAG